GGGGGGGGGGGGGGGGGGGGGGGGGGGGGGGGGGGGGGTGGGTATGGGGGGGTGTGGGTATGGGTGGGTGTGGGTGTGGGTGTGAGTATTCTGTAACGGGACCCATACCCACACCCTCACCCGCAGTTTAAGAAAAATCTTCTTTGAAACTAGTGAAACAGCTGCGAGTACGTTAATGATGCGGATGTGGATGTGGGTGAAATTGCGGAGTTGGTGTGGATGTGGATGTGAGTAAAGAAAACATTCTTATCCACACTCCACACAGACACACACACTCACACCTTGTCAAGGGAGTATATCGATTTCCATGCAATGAATTATTTGATTCTGCTTTTTTTTGTGCATTGGTCTTAGTTCTCTAGAGAAATTTTCCCATGTCTATCGAACCACTTAACTATTCAATAGATAAAAATGATGTTGTGTGATTCACAAACGTTGAAGAAAAATATTAATAAATTCAAGGTAGACTCCATGTATTTCGTATCCATTTTAATAGTTAGAGTCAAACTACTTCCGACAAGGTGAATTTGCTGAATATCTCAAAGTTTTACAGTAGTCAGATATCAACTATGGCTGATAGCTAACATCGGAGGTATTGCAGCGTGGTACTTTATGGAGAAATATCTATTTCATGTTTCAATTGAACAATCCTTTCTACATTTACTCATTTTTCAGAATATTATAATCGGATGAAGCTGTTAATTAGTATATTTTCAGAATATTTTCTTCAAAATCTATACAATATTCTGACAAAAGATTGACAAGAATCCATTTTCTTTCTAAGAAAAAAATTATCTTAAATATAACTGATGATTATTTACAATCAAAGAAACATCAGAATAAAAAAGAGAATTTCTATGTCATAGATGATATTTGAAGTTAGCTGAATAAAATGTATTCCCTTCCTTGAAAATCGTGCATTATTTAGTTTGCTTGATTATAGCAAAACAGTACCAAAAATCAATTATTTAAAATAAACTTTGCTCAGAAAAAAATTTGTTTTTTCTATGGGATTTGTAATAAAATATTAGAAAGATTTACAACACACACTGTCTTGAATTGTCGAACTTTTTGTATTTTTTAGTTTTACAAAAAAAAGTAATATCCTAATATTAATATGATTTCGAAAACAAAGAATCGAAGGGTGGGGTGTGAGTGTGGGTGACTGTGTGGGTAAAGACAAGACGAACAGGGGCTCCTGCACCCACTCACCATAACCACACCCACACCCGAAGAAATGGCTATCTTCTGGTGAAGAGGAAACATTGATACCTTGAAAAATGAGCGTGCTATTGACAAAATATGAGGTAACGTACAGAGATGATTTTTTCAAAAAAAAGCATTCCACACACTCAAATTTTGTTTCGCAATTCGAAATATCAATAAGTAACAATGCTCATTTGTATTTCAAGATGGCATTACTGCTTTCACGTAAATTGAATTCCCATTTTTTGAATTGCAATACGAGACAAGAGCTTTTTGCAGCAATTTTTGTGCGAAAAATGTTGATTTTCGGCTGACAACCATAATTTATTCTCGTAATTATTAAAAATAAATGAGATAGATCGACACAGAATATACGAAAATCGATATAAGAACTCTAATTGCGGAAGGTGTGTTGTTTTTTGTTCGAATATTTGTGTTCAACTTCAATCATGGTGGTTGATCATTAGCTGTCTTCGCTGAATAGATGTCCGGATACGTTTTGACTAAGAGTATATAAGAAAAAAATATCCCTTGACATGTACATAAAACGAGTGGTTGTGATAGAATGTTTTGTTCCATATTTATTCTCTCTATTGATAACGATGGTTTTGTCTTCTGTATAGCCATGTATGTGTGCTCTTTGTTTCTCTGCATCGAGAGCAGGAAAAACATCTAATTCATACAGAAGAAAAGAATTATTGATGATAGATCTGCTTTTGGCTAACATATTTTTTGGAGTTGTTCTTTGTCTATACTGTGCATACATAGTTTAACAGATGACGAAGGAAGATATGATACCAAAAAGATACAAGAGAGACAAAGAAAGAAAAAGTCGTCGCTTGATAGGACAACTCGAACAATAGTCTGTTTAGTTTGTGACTGCTAAACATATATTCATTGTTTTTTTTCATATCTTCAGTTGACTATTATATTTTAGTTTTAGTTTTACTATTTATCTAATCATATTAAAATGACTACATATTACACTGAACGTGGAAGTAGTGGTAGTCAATACTATTTTAATCCTAATTGTTCTACTACTTCACAATCATATCCAAATTATTCTTCGCCTCTAACAACAACAAGAACATATGGTACATCGGATTATTCAACTTATCCTGTGGGAATATCAAGTGTAAATTCACCACGTCAACTAATTCGCTTAGACAGAATTATATATAATCATGATGATCCATATCAATTACCAGTAAATAAAAGTCAAGCTACTACACGATTGGCTAATAGTCAAGATCAATATCGCTCTCAACGTTCAACAAAGCCAATACAAATTTCACCGCAACATCAACATTTTCAATTTGATTCTCGTCATCAACCAGATCGTTCAATGAATCCTGTGATAGTTTATCAAACTCCGGGTGCTACTAAATATACACATCGGAATGCTGATATATGGACTGCAAATCCATCTCAAGGTCATGATCATCGTATAAAAGTATGATCATTTTCTTTTGTTCTCATATATAGGTGTCGTTTAATTTTATCCATAGAATTCTTTAATGGAAAAACTACTGTTCTTCTTTAATTTTTGTTTAACAGGCTCTGTGGGTATCAGTTCGATCAGTATCTACTGCTGCTCCTCAACAATCATCTTCATCTGCTCATTATCATCAAGGACAACATCGCTCGCAAGCTAGTATTGTTGGAGAACAATATTATCGACAAGTATCTCCAACTCAACGACAACGCGGTCGATCAGAAGCTGAACGACAACGACAAGATGAAGAAGGTAATAGTTTTTCACTTTCGGAGGTAAACTATTAGCTTAATATATTCGTTTTCGATCATAGATTATTATACAGCACAACGTATAATGGCTGCTCAAAGAATGAAACAACAACAACAAGAACACTTCGAAAATCCTGCTGGAATTCAAGTGTGTATTCATTTTAAATATCATTTCCTTATAAGATACAGAATTTTTAGGATCTTATGAGTACATTTTCTGATTCAGCATCAGTTCAAATATACGAACAAAGATCAAAAACAATATTACCCAAACACCATTCAAGTGATGCATCAAATTCTGGTTCATGCCCAACAACGATAACACGAATACCACCGATGCTGTCAATAACTTATTCAGCATTACCAAAACATCTGGAACCACCTGTTAATACTATTGAATTTTATCAAATGCAAAAACAACAACAACCTAAAAACCAATTTATCAATGTTCAACAAGTAGTTGCTCCATCACATATTCAACATGCACCAGCCCGTTTTAGTATACTAAACGATCGATTTCAAACAGGATCATATCCAGAAAATATGTATAAAACAACAAATATACATGAAAATCATAAACAAAAGCAACAACAAACAAGAACTGCCGAAAATACCGTGTCATCATTCCGTAATCAATACATGAATAAAGCACAAGAATCCGAGCAACATGAAATATCTACACAACAAGTTCGAAATATTTCAAGAACAATTCTTGGAGAAGATTTACCTCAACAAAAGGAAACCCAAATCTCTCAACAACAGCAAGCTCAAACACCACAGTCTACTCAACAAGAACAACCTCAAGTACCAGAAACGAAAAAACCACTAAGTCAACTAGCACAACCTACTCAACAACAATCTCCAGCAACACAAGCTACTAAACAAAAACAGCCTACCGACAAACAACATCTTCAGGGACCACAAACTACTTATAACCACCAACAACACCTTCAGGCACCGCCGCCAATTGAGAAACAGCAGCATCAGGCACCGCAACCAACTGAAAAGGCACAGCAATCTCAGGTACCGCAGCCAACTGCAAAACAACAACCTGAGGCACCCCAACCAACTGCAAAACAACTACCTGAGGCACTCAAACCGACTGAAAAACAACAACCTGAGGCACTAAAACCAACTGAAAAAGCACAACAACCTCAGGTACCGCAACCAACTGAAAAAACTCAACAACCTCAGGCACCCCAATCGGCTGCAAAACAACAACCTGAGGCACCACAAGCAACTGAAAAACCACAACAACCGCCAGCACCACAAACAACTCAACAAAAAGAAACAATTGAAAAACCACAACAACCTCAGCCGCCACAACCAACTGAGGAAGCACAACAACCGCAGGCATCGCAACCAACTGAAAAACAACAACCTGAGACACCACAAGCAACTGAAAAACCACAACAACCTCCAGCACCACAAACTACTCAACAAAAAGAAACAACTGAAAAAACACAACAACCTCAGCCACGACAACCAACTGAGGAAGCACAACAACCGCAGGCACCGCAACCAACTGAAAAACGACAGCCTGAGGCATCACAACAAACTGAAAAACAACAACCTCCAGCACCACAAACTACTCCACAAAAAGAAACAACTGAAAAAACACAACAACCTCCAGCACCACAACCAATTGAGGAAGCACAACTACAGCAGGCACCGCAACCAGCTGAAAAACAACAACCTCAGGAAGCACAAGCTACTCAACAAAAAGAAACAACTGAAAAAACACAACAACCTCAGACATCACAAACAACTGAAAAAACACAGCAACTTCAAGCACCCGAACCAATTGAAAAACAACAACCTAAGGCACCACAAACTACTGAACAACATCAACCTAAAACAGCACCATCTACCCAAAACGAACAACCTCAGACAGTGCAGCCTACTGAAAAACAACAACCTAAATTAGCACAACCTATTCAAAAACTACAACCTAAAACACCACAACCTTCTCAAAAGCAACATCCTCAAGCACTACTAAAACCTATAAAACAACAAATATACATGAAAATCATAAACAAAAGCAACAACAAACAAGAACTGCCGAAAATACCGTGTCATCATTCCGTAATCAATACATGAATAAAGCACAAGAATCCGAGCAACNCTTCAATTTGCTGTATGTCTTGCCTTCGCGATGTCTATCGACAAGGCTCAAGAGTAATTACTTAAGGTGGTTGGCATTAATCTAGAGAGCCCTTGCCTTTCTCATGGCCAACTTAACGTAGCATGCTGAGGAGTTGGAACTGGGAAAAATTTGTTTGTTTTGGCCCCTGTTGTGGAAATCGAGAAGGTTCTGTATCAAAAAGCGTTGCAATCGAAGTTATATTTCGATAAACGGTCTTTTGTAATAAAAGAAGTCGATCAAACAAAAAGAACATTGAAAACGGTAGAAATTTTTTTTTTAATTAAAAATGGGGAAAACATCAGTTGAAAAGGGAAAGTGATCTGAACATATTTTGCGATATCGAATTCCAATAATTGATAGGAGATCATAGTGACGTCTTTTTATAATATATCACGTATATATTAGAAAATTATCATGACTACCATCGGGTACCTCCGCTAGTTCTTTATAAATTAAATATCTTCAAAAAAGAAAACATTTGAGGAAATACATTCTTTTTCATACATCATTAAGGTTTAATTCTCATACTACTTTCATTTAATTTTATGTGTTTTATTTTTTTTTCTGTTTATCTGACAGATTTTTACTCCATTTTAGGCTATATTAGATGATCGATTAAAGACAATTTTGAATAACATAGTAAATATGATATTCGAGTACATTGTAATTATACCTCGAAGTTGCATGAGATAATCATTATTTATGCCATAGTGTTTATTAGAAATGCAAGAAAGACTACTGTTTCAAAACATGAGCTGTATTTATAGAGAATTAAAGTCGTCTTTCGCTTGTCTATATCTATAACCGTTTTTCTCTTACTGTATCTTATTTACTTATATAGATCGAAATCTTCTGTCAGATAGATATTATATCAAATAATTCAATAACAATAGATGAATGTTTATGAAATGAAAATCAATTACTTTAATTTCTAGTTGTAGAAGATAACATGATCACTGATTTATTGAATAGATAAATATGAGTAAATAAAAAACATAATGAACAAGAAAAATGATAATATTAACAAAAAAATAATAAATTAAATAGAAATTCATCATAACTACTTTGGTAGTTGAATAATTATCAAAATAAAATAAGGTACTATCTATATTGTATGATATCAACATTGGTATACATGAAATATTGAAGAGAAAGATTAATGTACAGATAGTAAAATAAACGTGATCTAATCTATGAAGTATAGTTGATCTTTTCTTTTGCTTTATAAAATCTTTCATTCGAAATAAAACATATCACAGAACTGAGCGAAACAAGTGTGAGTGCGAGTATAATATATCAAATTTATACGCACATCCGATAAATATACTGAAATCGGTGAATAGTCGTTGAATCTATGACAAAGATTGATGATTATTAGCTATGTATAACGTGATCACTGTCTCCAACACTATTAGTCTAATCAATCCACTGATTTGTTTTATTATGAACTTTCGAAAAATGATTATTAAGCTGCATTCGTCTATCATTTAATATAAAATATAGTGATTACTGATATCTTTTATTTCGTAATTATTATTTGAAAAATACTATTTGAAAGATCACTAATGAATTTAATAGACATCCAGTATATCTTAACATGGTCATATTATCAAAAGACAGAGGAATGTACACAATTTTTACCATTACAGAATCGAAGTGATTAATTTTATTGAATCATAATGAGCTATTAAATAATAATACGTAAATTCTTTCCTGTTTAGATTAACTCGTGTGCATTGATGACTAATTGTTTTTTAACATCTGCTTTTGACTAGATCTTCATACGGATGCTCTCAAACCTATACCTTAACGTTTTTCTATATTTACTTGATAAATTATTGAATGATATACGTTGAGCAACACTATTCAATCTTGTGGTATCAGTCAATTCATTATGTTCTATTCTAAAATACAAATGAAAATCTTTGATATTAATAAACGAGAATCATTTAGTCAACAATTGTCAGTGGGCGTGCACAATAATATGTCGTTTACATGCACATCTGATTCAACTGTTTGATGGAAAATTTTATGAAAAAATTGTAATTAGATATCCATAAAACTTGATTTCATGATAACGTCTCAAGTATTCATAATGAAACTACATTGTATGACGAGATAAAAATGAATCTCGAATGTTTTTCAGAATAGACCGAAACCTTTCTACTGCAGTCATATCTTTTCGTTTTATTTGTTACCATAAGTTTTTTCAAATACTAGTTATTGGTTCTTTTAGAACTAACAGAGTCAGAAAATTCAATGAAGCAATTCAAAAAAAAAGTGATCAAATGAATTTTTTTGATTTAAAAAAAATTATTTAATTCTATTAACTGTTGTCATCGGTAGCATCACCGTAACGAATTACAATTAGTTCTGGCAACTCAGCAAATAAATTATGTTGTAGATCACTTTTAAAATTATGCGATTTCGAAGGTCTACTATTAGTATTTGAATCATTTGGTTTAGACTTTCGCGCTCTAATCTTTTTGAGTGGTATGCCTTTGTATCTGCCACGCATCGTTTCATCCATATGTTCTTTTCAAGCAATAATATACAACATTATAATCCAAACACCTTCTAACCCATTAAAAATAACAAAAAGCTATCCTAACACTTCACCAGCTTTCGAACCAACGATTGAAATAAATCGACTAAGACGCCAATCAAGACCTTGTGTTACACAAGATGTTAATACTACTATTAAGCATTGTTTTTTTGGGATTTGCTTAGAACTACCTGTTTCAGCTTCGTTCACATGAATAATTATACGTTTAGTAACCCAAAAAACTAAAAAAATACTTCTTGCAAGAAATATAGATATTGGTATGATTAAAAAATAATGGATAACACTACGATTAAACCAACAAATTTTACCTAATTGTATCTCAGAAAATTCATTAGATGCTTTAGAGTTAAGACCAGCTACAATAGCCATATATATATTATACCAATAAGAAAAGAAATACCAATTGTAATAGAAAGATTTCGAAGTGATGACGGAGGATTTAATTGAACAAAATGACGATAATTATAATAACGAAAACTAGTTTTTACACCAAACATAAAAATAATAAAGAAAAAAACAATAAATATTAGAGCCTGTTCATTTTCTAAACATGAAATATGAGATAAAGATGAACTTCTTGATGAAGAATTTGTTTGTGAATTTAATTTAATTTTGAATAAATTTATTTCAGAGTTATGTTTATGAAAACTACGTCTTTGATTAGTAGTAGCATTTAATTGTGAAAATCTTGAATAAACTGTTAAACTAAGTGCAATACAAAAAATAAAAAGTATCATTGTAATTAAACATGATATTAATGGAACTAATAATCTTAGTTGAATAAATTTCTGTGGATTAATAATTTGAATAACAATACCATGAATAATAATTTCTAGGAAACAACTAATTGAAATAATTTGAAATGCAATTGATACTTTATCTCGATCATTTAATACTACTTGTAGCATTTCTGATGATTTTCTTGAAATTTCATTTGGTCAAATGTGATCAAACGCCGTAACTAATAGAAACAATCCTTTTCTTTTTAACATTTTACTAATTGCATACAATTTTTATAACATGATTATTTTATTTTTCCATCAATGTTTTAACCTAAGTGTGCTATTTTCATCTTTGATTTGATAAAAAAATTATCAAAATGATGATCTTTCTTTATTTAAAACAAATAATACTAAGAATACATTTTAGAGAATGATCGTTACAAACAAATCTAAACATTAACAATATTTATGTGAATTTCTTATCTCTAGAAAAATGGTAAATTGAACATCAATTTCGTTTAGGTTAAATAGAGTTTTTATTTAATCTTTTTTTTCGCTTCTTTCTCTGTCACAGAATAGTCATCAATGACAGCTAACGTATTTTGAATATCGTTATGCAAATTTTGTCGAGATTCTTGAGCCAAAATTCAAAAGAGATTAAACGAAAAAAAAATGTATTTTCAAATTTGTACGTAAGGGTTAAAAAAAAGACCCATTTGGTAATACTAGGATAAAATAATAAAACATGCTATCGTTGACCTCGAAGAAGTAGTCATTTTATGGACTTATAGTTTTTTCTACTCATTTTCAATTTTTTTATATCGAAAAATTCTTATAAACATCAAGAAGTTGTCAGATATTATTGACAATCACTGAATTTCGACTAATAATTGTAGCTTTTATCAAAGTAACACAACATAATTTGCTTCCTTTCAGTGACATAATTATTTTAGATTATTCATCGCTATCAATAATCAAAACTCATAGAACCTTGTTTTTCAATAAAATATAACTAACAATGGCAAATAATATGTATTTGTTTCGTTTTATAGATTTGGCTTTGTCTTCAAAACGTAACAAATAGCATAGACAATTAAATAGTCACAATTCAGACGATTTAAAGCTTACATATTCATATGTTATTTCAATATGTAATGAGCTCACATGGATTTTAGTATAATCTGTAAACTTACCTTCTGAATTCTTAATCTAATCAATTGAGCTCTATTCAATTTATCTAATATTCATAGAGCGTTACTCAACAATTCATTAAGAGAATATCAAAGAAAAAGAAAATATATCTATAAATAATTGATGAAGCAAAGACTCTTACCCGACGTATAGTTTGTGGCCGTTGATACGTTAGCTGAAGATCGTTTCATTTTGTGTCTATCATTAATATATTTGATGACATTTTCAGAAGTCATTTCTTTCGCGGCATTTAAATCATAATCATTATTCATAAATTCATAATTACTATACGAATATGTTTTCAATGTATAAAAACCAAAGATTATTAATCGAAAAAACAAATGTCTACTAATAATATTCTTCATAGTGATTTTCCGTGTAATGATGTATATTATATCTAAAAAATATGATTCTTTACAAAATGATAAGAATATTGAATACATTGTATCATATGAAAAGAATCTATCGAAATCTCCAATAATCATCAGGCATATACATATAGAATTTTGTAATTTGAAGATAGATATACATATTTGAATGAATAAATTATGCTTTATTTCCAGAATTCTCGTACTACAAGAATATGTTAAACAATACTTGATCTTCAACCTGAAAATAATTGTTCTGCGAGAAATATTTGCATTTTCTTTTTTTCTGTTTAAAAAAAAAGGAAAGGGAATAAGGAGCGAGAAACAAAATATTATTTGTTATAGTATTTATATAAAATTCTATTGCTGATTCTGAAAGTATATTTACGCGAATAAGAAAAACTATCAGGCACATAAAAAAAAGGTAACTTTCATAAAGATATTAACGTCACACATCATGATGAAAAAAACAAAAAAAAAAGATTCAATTAGCTTTTTGTTTAGTTTTTCGAAATATTTAGAGAAGAAATTATAAAAATACTCATCGACATTGGTTGTTAGTCGGCAGAAATACTCTTGCTAGAACTTATTGATTTATAGTTCTTACTCTAGATATTCTTTTTCTTTCATTCGTATGGATACATTATGATTATTAAAAACAGTACGAGTTATTGGTGGTTTTTTAATTCTGCTCTTTCTCTTCGATATTTCTTCGTAGACTAGCATCATTAAAAATCAATAATTATCGAATCTCTTGCTTTTATTTCACATTTACATGTTTATATTGAAAAAAAACAATTTATTTATTTTCTTCATGTTCTGCAATATTAATCAAAAATATGGATTTGAACAGCACAGTTGATATCTCAAGATATGTTTGCTTATGTAGTTTCACCTGTTTGTCAAGAAAATACATAAGTGAATTTAGCATCAGATTCAACTATTTTATGGTTTTTTTCCTCTATGTTATAGAACNGCTCACCAGAACTATTAATTACATAGAAGATCGACTCAACACCAAGTTCAGGTGGACGTGTATTTGGCATATTTCGAGTCATATCTGTAGCACATAAACCTGGAGTTACACTGACGAAGAGTAGATTTTTCCAACTCGATAATTCACGTGATTCAATTTGTGTCAGAGCATTTAATGCTGCTTTTGTAACACCATAGATTAGAAAATCTGATTTGGGATCATATCCAAGAGATTCAAATTTATTTTTTTCTATTGATAATATAAAATCTTCAACTAATTGATCAAGTTGATCTTTTGTCAATGTTAATGATGTATATTTATCTTGAAGTGATTTTGAAGCTTCTTGTAAAACAATAGAACCAACTCGACTAGATACATTTATTATTCGACCATTTTCTCTCATAAGAGGAATTAAATATTCATTAAATATTTTTATTTCATAATAATTTGTATTAAATAATTCTCGAGCTGCATCTACTGTTATTTCTGTTTTAAATATACCAGCATTATTCACAACAACATCTAATTTACCATCATAGAATTGTTTTATTTGATCAACAGCATGAATAATTGACTCTCTTGAAGGTGTATCCAATTGAAGAATTTTAACATTAGATGGAGAATTTAGCTGTATCAATGCATCTTCACCTTTTTTTAAATCTCGACAACCAAGTAGAATAAGAGTACTGTTCGATGGATATTCTTTCAATAATTTTTTTACTAACATAAAACCAATGCCTCTGTTAGCACCAGTGATAAGAATGATGCGTTTTTTTCTCCAAATGACATCTTAACAATAGAAATACATAGGAATATATTAACTTTTGTATAATATAAGAATGAATGAAAAATAAAATCTAATCAATTTCAAATATATATGTATGAAGCCGAACAATAATGTCATAGGAATGCAAAATAAAACTGAATCAATTCATATGTTAAAAATATTTCCTCTAAGTCAGCTAAGATAAACATGCCACAATTCATATGAAAAGAAAACTGTCAGATTTTGCTTTTTTTTTAAATAAACAAATCACCATCAATAAAAGTAATATTTCTACCAATATTAACTATTCATTTATCAAGCTACCAGATAATATCTTTAAAGAATCACTTCTGTTGACTGATTAACATACTTTATAATCTCCTAAATAACATTGCATCAAGTCTAGCCAACATATCATTTGCATATGTTTAACATAGAAAAAAAAACGAAATCATCGATCTATATACTTTTGTCTTTTAAAGTAGCATGTATATGTATATTCACTGATGTATTTATTCTCTCAATGAATGCGTCATATTCTCGTCTAGAAAAAAGAAATTGTCAAGCACGAAGTATATGAAAGCTGTATTTCTTCTTTTACAATGTTACAAAATACAAGTGTAATACGTAAACACAGAACATGACAAAATACAACGATTACTGCTTATTTACGAGCTTACCTTTTCGAGCTGCCTATCAGAAATAATAAATTAGCTACAAATGCTGTTTGGCGAAAAAAGAAGTTCTATGAAGCTGATGGTTGTATGTCAATTTTATTTTTCTTTCCTTCACAAAAAAAACGAATATTCTTTTTTTTTCAAAGTACAGAACGCGCCAAATGTTCTGTCAATAACGATCAAAGGTCTTGACTAGTAGTTCTTAATGTTAAAAACGAGATTGACTTTTGAGGATAAAATATACGTTGTCTTTTTTTTGGGGCACCCTACTTTTCGTTTTCATTGTTGCTATTTACACGTTATTTTTCAATTTCGTATTTTGTGTTTTATGATTTAAAATTGTTATTATTATAGACAATTAATTAGATGCAAATATCACTGTTCTAAACATATTATTTTATTCCGATTGTTCAAATTTATAGTATGGCCAAGAAACTGCGGTGGTCTTTAAGAACAATGTGCTGCCATGGTGGAGTCGTTACGTTGTTCGACGCATATCCACAAGGTACTGTGTTCAAACCTCAGTAGTATCATCCATGAAATGACCCTGAAGAAGTCACTAACGGCTAGTTGTTTCGGATGACTCATTCAATAGCGTTTTGATTACGTCACAAGTCAATATGCAGAGTAAAACCACAACCTCAACATAGTTGTCACAATCTTGTGATTCATATGTTGACCGCCAACCTGAAATTCATAAACGGGGGAAGCTTTGGACGGAAGGAGCACATATACCATTGTCTGTAAAAAGAAAAAGACGAAAGAACCTGGCTACTCATTTGAATCCTTCAGCGCCTGTCACAACGGGTGATACGCCTATGAGAGATATTATTATTATTATTATTTAAGAACAATGCTCAATTGGTGAAACTTAATATTTCCATAACGACTTTATTAGTAAAGGGAAATATATGCGCATTGATGAGTCAACTTCGTTTTTATAACATAATAAAACTAAAGGTTGTTCGCTAAACAATAGGATCGGAAGTGATTAAGAGAAGATAAATTTGATTTAACATGTGAAAAACAACAAGAAATAGACCAAACAATCAAACTGATGAAAAGTAATAATCATCTCAATTTTAATATGAATAATAGTTCGAATACTTGACCAAACTTATTTAATTCTTAATTTTTTTAGTTTTGTAAAAAGATGCCTCAATTTAAAAAATTATATCAACAGCAACCTAAATATTGATACTTCACATGTTAATACATATTTATTTAATTATGAATAGATGACTTAGTGAGTCATTTAATTCAAAAAAGAAGTGAATCATGTGTTTGAGCTTGGATGTCCACTTTCATGTTTCATAGAAGTCTGACTCATATCAATACAAATTCAAATATGCATTTGTATTGTTATTTTGCTTGGCTGAGAAGGTGTAGGTGTGAAAGGGTTTGTGAATGTAAGTGTATTTTGACGAGAATTTTCTCTTTATCTGTAAACACACGAGGCATTCACATGCACCCTCACTTGTATATGATTTCATTCAAAAATGGCAGCTGTATTTTCCCTTGTCGTTCGTTTGTGCTCATTCAGTCAGTTTCAGACGAACTGAAAAAACATTTGAGGTTTTAACAAGACTACTCGATGGTGGAGAACAAGCCTTAAAATGTTTATTATTCTTCGTTTCCGCTATTCGAAATGTAAGTTTTTTCTATACTAATTTCCATCGAAAGAAAATAAAAATCATAACTCTGTCTCGACATCTATTTTGTGTTCAGTTCTGCACATGTTCATAGGCTTCTAGGTATATGAATATGTTTGTAGATTTTTAGTTGTCATGCAAGAAAAGAAGAAATAATAGGTGATGTACAGTCAAACCATAGAAAATGATCACTCAATTGATACATATATTAATAATCGACGTATATTTATCATACCAAGATGTTTCTCAGAAATATCAAACGAAAAAAACTCAATGTGAAAAATTAAGTGACTGAACGAAGCATAGATCAGGAATAAATAGACAAAAGGATATGTTATCTAGATTTATTTTAATGTAAAGCGAATAAAAGCTTTAAGATTGTATTTACTTTTGTAAAAATTTTATGAAGTGTTTTTATTTTCAAAATCAAAAACCATTTGCCGTTGGTTGAAACTAACATACTGTCGCGAGCTTATAGTGCCACTCGGTGTGTATGTACCACGTTCCGTTCCATGACACACATAACTATTTTGATGTGATGATCGATAAGCACGTTCTGATGGATAGCGATACTCAAGATCTTTAATTAGCTTTTGACAGAAGGGATCTTGTCCAGATACACTGGCCTTGATCTTGTTTACTTGAGCTTTGAGAATAGCACGTGATTGTCGATAGTCATCCTCGGACATTGCTTGTGCTAGTGCATGTGCCATTTCTACACGATTTCGTTGAATATCAAGTACATAATTGACACGAAGAAGATCAGTTGGAGGATGAGAACCTCGATCTAAATTGAACGAAACTGGATCTATCGTTATTGCACGACGACTATTAGGATCGATGTAGACAGCAGTTACATTACCTACTCACAGAAAAAATAACAATTGGACCATGATGATAATGTCCGATTCATAAAAAGAAGTCAGCTCTGGCTGATATTTACCAATGGTTTGGCTTTCTAACAATTGTATTTCTTCTGAAGATTGAGACAAAGACATCGCTTGTTGACTAGCCATGTCTACATTTTGTTTATTATTGTCCAGTTTCGGTACATGTAATTGAAAAACAAAGTTTCGCTTTTCTTCAGCATTCAAATCATGTAACTTGACATTAAGTGTAGTTGAGGGCAACTGTTCAGGTTCATATTTATATTTCGAATGAACATGAGTGACTTTATAAGCTCCAGTAAATTCGATGTTAATTTGAAGCTCTTGTGCAACACATGTAAATAGGCCACCGAGAGTCATCGCGAATGCAGGACCAATAGCGTGTTCTTCATCCTTTTAAAAAGATTTACAAATAACACTGTTAATCGTGACAATTTGAATATCCGATAGTCAAGCTCAACTTACAATATAAGTAAATGTGCCGCCATTCCCTTGCTCGGCTAATTGCACTAGTACTGCAGTCGCATGATCAGATCCGTAACCAAATATGTGACATTGAACACCACTGGGTAAAGTATGCATCAGTTGCGTGTAGTCATGACTGTCATTGTCTTGACCATCAGTGAGCAAGAGCAAGCCATTCAATGGATTTTTTGTTTGACGACTAGTAAATAAGTTGATACCCATTTGTAATCCACTTCCAATATAAGTACCACCTTCACTGATAATATCAGTATTGATCGCATTAATCAAGATCTGTTTGCTAAAAATTTGACAAAAACCATTTGTCTATTTCATTTTTTATTTGAAAAATACTATCTGACAAGGCAGATTTTCTTGAGATACAATCGCAAAGTATGTCAGTTTGTTAAACCAAGGGCATTAACCTCAAAGATTAATTCATTGGGTATGACACTGCTTTGATGAAAAATCCTAACTAATATTTTTTGACCGTTCCACTTCAACGCATTGCTATAGAGAACATGTGTCTTTTTTTGAAATCGTGTTCTTCTTTTGAATACTCAGTTGTCTACGATTTTTTACGAAAAGACTAATTATTTATACAAAATATTATATTGTCCAACATCCAAAAAAAACGCAAAAGTGATAGTTCATATCAACAAGTAGATTTAGATGTTTTCGTTTCCTCCGATATGAAGTTTTATGTCATACCTTACTTATATGAAGCAACCAAAATTAACCAGAGACAAAACACATGTTATTCGTTTTGGTTAGGAGCTCTTCTTATTTTCACTATTCTTCTCAAACTGCTTTGCACTCCTTACAATCTTCAACAGAATAATTAAAATCAAATACTTATAGCATCACAATTTTACGTATGCTTTTACGGTCTACAGATATCTTATGTATTCGATAATTCTTAGATTAGTAGCTTTTGCGATGATCTGCTACAGAAGCTTAAGCCACACTGCAGAGAAAGAAAACTGAGAATTCTACTCAAGACAATGGCGCATTCTATCTTTCTATATTGAAGCATAGCGCTTTTCACATACAAGTGACAAAACAGATTAATCTACCGAAATTGTGCAATAATAACATGCAGGTTTGTAAGAGTTAGACAATCATTTGTACTACTTTTAGATTTGACATTAAAACACCTGATGCAATAACTCTACACAATTTCTAGTGGAAATTTCTTTTTAGACATTTATAAATATTTCCTTATGAATGAATGTTAGACTCACTTTTGTTGATTCATCCGTTTCAGGCCATGTGAACGATCAAAAGCTCTAGTATTGAATGAAATAATAGCTAGTCGATCAATTTCATTCATTTTTTCGACAATGTAGACCAAAGTCTGTTTCAATAAGGCTATTTTGTCACCTGACATCGATCCACTTTGATCAACAACACAAACGAGATCGATTGGAATATGAGACGACACAAGCGATTCGGTCTCTACCGGTTGGATAACAGTTGGTGCTTGAAGAGTAACAAGACCGTAAATATTTGATTCTTCCTGCGAAACTTGAGCTTCATATTCTAATGTTGTTGAAACAGTTATCAGTGGAAGGTTGTCAGTTTCATTGGGTGAAGTAATTGCCGTCTGTTGAGCAGAAGCAAGACGATCGCTAAGTTCCCGTACAGCAACCTCATCAATGAGATCTTCAACTGAAGGCACAACCTATACAATATTGTCAACATCGACTTATTCCTGAACATTTGATTGTTTTTATATGAAATGGTGAAGAAAGATATGTGAAACATTTGTTTTAATTCATTTCCACAGGATTTCGTTATTTGTCGCTTACAATATTGCCGAATAAGTTGAAACTTGACGAAATTCAGATAAAATATGATTCATTCTATTTATAACATATTTAGTCAACATAGATACTTTCTTGACAATACAATTGAATATCATCCAACTTGGTAACTATCTCAGTCGACTACCATATTGGGTATGAGTGTGCATGTGCCTGTATGAAGAGAGAAACATCTACACCCATATCATACACTCGCAAGCTACTAACTCGAACAGTAAAAAATTCAGATGGAACAACAGATTTGGTATTAAACTAATTGATTTTTTAAAAGATTTCATGAATAGAATGGATCATGTTTGATCTGAATATTTTTCGTTTACGAAATCTTACTGTGTGTAGGAATTAACAAAAAGTGGAAATTACCAAACATTTAACTACTCACATTTACTACAGAATGTGGAGTTGCAATCGGTTGTTGTTGTCGTTGTAGTTGTAATGAGAGCTCAATAGGGCGTGAAAGTGTTTTAACAACTGAATCCTCAATTTTAACACGACACAAAGGACATTCTTTATTTTGTGCTTTGATGTTCGATGCTAGACATTGAAAATGGTATTTATGACCACAAGACAACGTCAAAAGAGGAGCTCCCTGGGTAAGAGCATTCAAACATATGGTACAATCATCAACAGTTTTTTCTGATGCTGTAGATTGAGGAGCGGGTAACATAATTTATTTTTTGCCAATGTCTGCTGCGAAAAAGAAAAAAAAAGAAAGAAAATAAGTGTATTTTAGGCTTTATATACAAAAGAAACGCAATAGAATCATTGCATCATATAATCGAAAACGTGGGTGTGTTGAAATAGCTGACTCATTACCAAGATAATATAACAATGATTCATTTCTTCAGATGGGCGTGAATCATAGCTTGCAGTACGTATTTCGAAACACTTGCTTGTACCACTATGAAGAGGGCGGAAAAAACTAAATTCAGTGATGTAACTATTTGTATTACTTCATAGAACATATCGCACAGTGAAAAAATCTCTCAATGAATCACTTCGTTCCGTATATTCCTATCGAATTTTCCCAGCAATGGACGATATAACCCATCGATGGGGAAAGCATTCCCATTTATGCAAAAATGGATCATCCCACATAAAGTCATACCCACTAAGAAGAAATGAAAAAAAAATATGTACCACTTAACATTCTTAGAAGTATATTCCTTTCAGACAGAAATCGTTCTTTATATAGTGAAATGCTTTCAACAAACAGAAATAAAAAAGAATACATATATATGCAATGATGACTCACTGTTCTTTTATATACACCATTTATCCATACTTATCATACACTTCTACGGGAGGAAAGAGAAACGGCTCATCCATTTCTTCTAGAAAATTTTCCATTTATGCTGCATAAAATCTGTTTCAATTAGAAAGTCTCCTACGAGCGAAAAATAATCTTATTCATTTCTACTTACATCATGAAAAAAGTTTTATGCATTTCTCCTTGTGCATTATACATTTCTGCTTGAGAAAAGAGAAACTCTTCATGTATTTATACTAGAAACTTTTCCATTATTGCTATATGTTGCTTTGTTTTCCTGTATGAAAGGTTTTCTGCTTGACTTTGTCCCATGTAAAGATATTTTCAGACTTTTACCTCATAACTGTGATTCATAGTTATAGTTATAGTCATGCCAATTCAGTTAGTAAGAGACAGAAGGAAGAAGATAAGAAAAAAAGAGTGGAGTAGCCATTCATTCAACGATTTATTCTTCGTAGACATTCGTATGAAGCATAGTATGTGCTTCTTAGTCTAGCTCATGGACACTTTATGCATGATTTTATCGTCTTGTTTACCATACAGTGAGGGTCAATAATTCTCAGTCGCTTCTGATTTCTTTAGTGTAGCTTATCTTTTATTCGACATGATTTTAGATTAGTTGATTCAAAATAAATCTATTGCTTATACAGGAATACTCAATTAATATTCTTTATTACTCTTATAGGTTCTTTCTAGTCTTTTTTTAAAAAGAAGTCATACATTTAAAATCGATAAATAGCATTTAGAACGTTAGTCTGGCACAATCGATTCAGTAGTGTCAAACTTGAAACTTGAATTCAATTGAAATTTCAAGTTTCAAGTATAAAACTTCAACTATAAAATTTCAAGATCCTTTCGCAGCACCCTCACCTGTTGCGATGATGTGTGTGTCAGAATTCGTGTGTCGGGATTCTTCAAAGTGATTTCGGTCTTAAAGTTGAAACTTGAGACTTGAAATTTCAATTGAATTCAAGTTTCAAGTTTGACATATATGAATCGATTAGATGAATTTCAAAAAAGAGTTAATGAAAGATAATTCTATTTATTTGTCTTAGTTATACTTTCTGTAATAATACATCAAACTAATTTGGAATCGATCGCAACTGCTGATCAACGTTAGATCATCGATTGTCTCTAATTGTTTAAAAATTTTAATGAACGCTAGTTGAACATTATGACAGTAACAAATCATCATAACGTCTCACACACCTGGATTTTCTGTGATTAGGCCATTGATCAAGTATTAGAGTTTGAGAACTTGTTCTGAGACAAATAAGCAAAGCACCTGCTCATGAATACATTGCTACTATTAGATAACAACCACCGATAGTCAACGTTTCCTGAATGTCTTACCACCTGATTTTATAGTATACAGAATAATTAGTTCAACTTCGATTTTCAGCTATTTTTTTCTTATATACCGTGCCAAAAAAATTAGAAGAACTCACGTTAGTCCACATCATAGCTCGAGAGTCTGAGCGTGTTACTTCTCTTCATTCACATCGATATCTGCTCACATCTTGATAATTAACAATGAAACATGAGGGTGTGGGTGTGTGGTGGGTGTGGGTGTGTGGTGGGTGTGGGTGTGTGGTGGGTGTGGATGTGTGGTGGGTGTGGATGGGTGTGGGAGTATGATGGGTGTGGGTGTGGCAGTAATTGAAGAGAGGATCCACTCCTAAGCCCACACCCACCCACAGCCACAGCCACAGCCACACCCACACACCCACACCCTATGTGCACGTTGAAAGGTCTTATTTCAATGTATCGTTGAATGGTCATAAAAACCATGCTGCTATGCTTATACTTGCTTTTCTCTCCTTGTGCAACTTGATAATTGTAAACTGCACTGTCCTTTTAGAACCGAGATGGTCAGAGAGTTTTATTTCGCAAAAAACAAAATATTCACGTTGACTAAAACAATTCATATAAAGTGATCAGTGTATTGATAATAAGTAGTCAAATTGATCTTCTTTATCTATTATCGACACTTTTGCATTCATTAATTCAGATATTCTTTTTTTAATGCAATACTATTTTGTTTGTGCATTTTTTTCAAATATTTTATTAAAATAAATAAATTGGTAAGTTAAGCAGGATTTTTCAAGAAATGCTCGCTTCTAAGATTAACTAGACTTTCATACATTCTAGAAGTTTTCATTAGGTAACCTTGTAGAAAAATATAAACGAATTCCTTTTATCTTATGCTGATTCCTTATTATTTCATCGTAACTTTGAGTGTATGCTCGTTTTTTTCCAAAATTTAAAAGAGCAACAGAATTCTTAACTGAATCTATTAGACTTGTTCTTAGATTCCTATTTAATATAAGGCGAATTTGATTTGTATATCAATAGGCTTAAATTAATTATATTAGAGAATATGGATATGGGATGTTTACAGTGATGTATCCAGGATTTTTAGACCAATAGGCAAACTTTTATTGTGTCAGAAAAGAAAGAGGTGGGCAAAATTAGCAAGGATTTTATTATTAATCCAAATTATTATTTGATTCAACAGAGTATAGATAACTTAAAAGAAATACAAAAAAAAATGACATGAGATTGTTTTAACCAAATATGCATCAAACTCAGGTCATAATTTTGACTCTGATGTGTTTTTAGTCTTTGTTTCAAACTCAAACACCAAAATAAAGACAACGATAAGGCATTTCTATATATAATTTCAATATTTCATCCAGATTTAAAGGGATGGTGCGGTCGACGGAGAATGGTAGTATTCACCTCCTGTTCCTGGAAATTTTAGCTGAAACTTTCTGAAAATTTGTTATTTTGTGAATCGATTTGTACCCACTTTGGAACACTTATCAGGCAATTTTCTCCAATATTTTTCAGCAATATATATAACAACTTTCTCTGAATTTGAAGAAAATCTAATTAACTTAAGCTTAAAAAAGATCCACAAAATTGTTATCACACTCCAATATATCAGTCGCTAATGTCCACATAGTATGACGAATCTTAACGACAAATGTGATTTTTTTTCTCGTCTTTTCGAAAATTCTCGACATTCTAAAGACCTGTACAAAATCAACCTTTGAAGTTCTATTTTTTCAAAATTATTTTACTTCCAAAAATACCTATATCAAAGATTGAACAGAGAATGAAATTAAAAAATATAGTCAGGTTTGTTTCGTTTATTTTTTTAATAGTAACTCTTCATGTATGAAAGGAAGAAGTACACGTATAATCTGAGCAGATCTAGAAGCATCGGGAAGCCTCTCTACTACGAAAAAAACGCACATATAGTAACAAAAAAACTTTTGTGTTTTTGCTCTTTCTCGGCAGAACAAACAGAGAGTGCATGTGTGATTCCAACGGGAAGAAAAAACACTTACTATCTAATTCAAAAATAAAAAAAAAATTCTGAAAAAGTAAAGTATTAATCGGCATATCTCCAAATTCCACAGACAATTGCTCATTTGCTAGCTACTGAATACCCCACTGGATGTGTAGAGAGTAGCCCTATTCATATTCTCAATTGCAATTGCTAGAAAAACATTTTGGTGATTTTACTTATCAAAGAATAAGTATTCCAAATATAGCTGATAAATTTTGAACATGAATTTAATCATCTGATCAATCTCATCTGTCTTAAAAATCTCTTGATTCAACTTGATTTTATCATCTCAATGGTCAGTTGATTTTATTTTAATTAAATTTCATAATGTCTTTGATTCGTTTCTGAGACTGTTGAGAAGTTAAATATTGATGAGTCTCACATTTGTACGATGATTTCTTCTAGTTTGATCTCAGCTCAAAACTTAGTGATTTTCCAATAGAGGATTGTCACTGAAAAAGTATCGAGATTAACTCTATCTCAATATGACAACACGGCCACAGACAATTGAGTAAAAGATAACATTTCTATTCAAAAGTAAATTGCAATTTCTTTTGAATATTTTTTAATGTGTCGTTTTTCGGTACACTGTATGTTTTGTGTAGTTTATATAAATTTTTTTGCATACACGTTGTTTCACTATGCTTCATTGTGTATTTATTTTTCACGCTATGTCTTTTCTTTGGTTCCGATTCTAAATGAAACGTTAAAATGTACAAATTAAGTTATGAGCTTATTTCTTTTAAAATATCACATTAGACTATTTTCTTTTTAATATCTTTTATTTTATCTATCACTTATTTATTAATTCTGTCTTTTTACAATGGAAAATACATATAATGTTATATGTAAGAATTGCTAATCATTGTGTTTAATCTTTTTCTTTAGTTCATGATTCTGAAGATATACGTGCATGTCTTCTATAGAATATTTATATAAAAGATCATGAAATGAAACTCAATAAAAACATGGAAGAAATTAAAATATCTGATTATGTATGAATAAGATGAATACATGAGATTTTAATCAAATTTATATA